GCCGAACGCCTCCACTGCTATGGCCTCCTTGCCAGCTACCTTAAATTACTCATTATTATTATTTAATAATTACAATCTACAATAATAATGCCAATAAAAATAACAATACTAAATAAAAATAAATAAAATAAATAACCTTCTGACTACCCATCGTCACCGCTCCACTCATCAGCATCTCCCCAGCCCCAGCCCCGGGAATCGTCTTCGAGTCCTTGATGTGTGTCATCAGCACACACAACGCATCATGAATCGACCGCTCTGCCTCATCCAAAATCTGCTGCGTTGAACCGCGTATCACGATCGAACATGCCTCGCCTCAAATGAATATCATTTATTATTATTACTTCAATATTACTACTTTAACATTACTACTTATTATTACTATTACTTTAATACAATCACTTACTACCATTATAACTTTAATATAATTACTTATTACTATCATTACTTTAATATTACTACTCACTATTACATTAACAGCCAAGTATACCCAAAATAGTAATAAACTCCCACTACAGTAACACTCTCATATTACTCTTCACACGAAAAATCGATCATACCTAACAGTAATAATAATAATAACAACAATATACCAAATACTACCCAACCCTCATCACCACTACCAATACAATTAAAACAATCCACGTCAGCACCACACCATAAACAACCCAACCCAAACCACTCAAAACAACCGCCAACCACCACACAACCGCCCACGAGCCACTCACCAACTCATACTGAATGCAACCACTCAACTGGTACCACTTAAAAATCTAATCAGTCAGAGCGCAGACACACAGAGCGTGCACTGCAGACACCCACATCTCTTCGGTCAGAACGCACGCAGACACCCAAAGTTCACCTACTGCTCTCTACCCACCCTTCACCAATAAACACTAAATAATAATAAATAATAATAAATAAACAATAAAAAACAATAACAAAACAATAAAAAATAACAAAACCAACCCAACGGCACCCCCGAGAATCTCAGAAATCTATCCTCTCCAATCATCACCTGCTCTATCAGATCGCACTGGCCTAGTTTTACCTTATCGGGCGTGTCGAACGTCGATACTATCTCTCCTCCTTCAATCAAAATAACACTAAATAACAAGAATAATCAACAAATCATAAAATAAACAACAAATAAACAACAAACACAACAACAACACATAACAAAACCCACCCAAAACCTGCGCCAGCCTCTCTACCCCCTCGAAATCCGCGTGCTCGATGGCCATAATGCCAGCGTCCGCAAATAATTGCTCTGGGTAATTGTATATCAATTGCCGATTAATGAATACGTTGATTTTATGCGCTATTATCTTGTCTACCTGTAATAATAATAATAAATAACAATAATAATAATAAACAACAATAAATAACAATAACAATAATAAAAACAATAACAATATATAACAAAAATAATAAATAATAACCCTAATAACTACCTTATCCTTCATTTTCTGCTTCTCCGCGAC